ATTTTGGATGGTCCAGTGAACCAGATTAATCGTGTTAAACGGGCTTATGTATTAAGGTTGACATCAACAACTTATCTCAAATAGTGAACGGTACATCAAACAAGACAACATTCTTACGTAGGTTACTGATGGTAATTTTCATGTATCCCGTTGGGCAGCTTATTATTTACACAGTACAGGATGACTAACGATGTAGTATTTAGTGTCTTATTGGTTGGTATAAACCCAAGAATGGAAATATAGAAACAATAATGTTACAAAATAAATCACAATTACTGTTAATTAAAGATTCATTGTGGAAAGAGATTCCGGTCGCAACTCAACAAGGAGATCCCTTGCTGGGAAAAGACTTTAATCCACCCGGCCAAAGACTTAAAGGAGCTAAATCGCTATTCTTTGTCACCTAGAAATGGACACTTAAATGGGTCGCAACGCATATACATGTATAATAATGTAATGTGAGTGTATATAAACTGATTTACATTCAATCGTTTCTGTTTTTACTGTAATTTCTTTTTACTTATGTTCGGCGAAATACGTACGCGAAGAGTGCAAATTGAATGGCAGTCTTCAAATGGCGTCTGGTTATTTCAGTCTACTTCGTTGGTATTCCCATGTGGGATATGTTAGCCTCGTTCATCCAGTCAGGTCATTACAAATGGCCCTCGAAAGCGGTTTAATCTCACTGTGCCCCCAATCAACTGGTGTTATAGGGTAGTGGTGTGAAAATTTAAGTAAACAAAGGATTATAGACTGTATCCTTATTAGTACTGTTCACCTAGTTAAAATTTAATTATTTTAATGATTAAAATATATAAGATAAATTCATGTGTCATCGGTTATCGAGTATCTTAAATATTATTCACCTACCTTTCATTCAGACAGTACTCATAAATCAATCAAATATATGATTAGAAACTCACTATCATTATATAAGGATAGTTGTCACCCCCAATTACATTATATCTTTTAAAATGGCTCAAGTTCGCATAGGGTTTATTCCTAATTCTCAAGGTCAAAATTTAGTTAATTTGGGGTATAAGTACAGAGTAAAAAATACGAAACCCAATAGCACCAGCAGACTTTTACTGAAAATACAATAGTTCAATTGGATAACGGGGGACGATTGCCCCCTAAAAGACGAAAATATAAAAGAGTAGAAGAATCTATTAATGATCTAAAAATCAAACTGTTATTATATAAATGGAGTAAAAAGTGCAATTGAATATACTGACGCCATATCACATTTAGTAGGGTTATGATTTAAGTTTGATACATGTATTTGTTGTTACTTTTATGAAATTTATTGTGAATAAAGTTGTTTATTAGTTTAAACCCAGTAGTTTAAAAAAACCGACTATACTTTTAACACTATTGTATTCGATAATCCCCTTGCTTGATTAATCCCCCCATGAGAACAATAGCAGGGGGCACAGTGAGATGTCCCCTCGAAAGCATTCTGGCCAGGCCCATACCCAGCGTGGACCAGGGGGGGGGGGGAATGTTTTGCCCCCCCCCCCCGAAAAAAAAGTTGCCGATCATAGCTCTAAAATACCTAGTGTAGACTGTGCCCCGCCCCTAAAAATTTCACATTATTACATTTATTTGTTCAATGGTGGAAGATAAAAAAAGCAATAGAAACATACATTTACACCATAAATATTTGTAATACATTGGAAACATAAGCATAACATTTCAGGGTGTTCGGTTTCAGATATATAATGGAAAATGGGACATGTTTATTACAAGTTATGCAGAACAACCGTAAATCTACACGACATGTGATGTGTTCTAAGAGATGCCAAGTCTGTCATAAAACTGCTTCGCCAAGCTCAATAATACCGCGACAGTCTGCAGATGTATTGAAATAGTATAGGCATTTTTGACGCCTTGGCGGTCAAACGTCAAATAATGTGTTGTTGATGACCATTATCTGTACTTAATGACCATCTTATATTGCTCATTAAATATACGCGTGTCTTTTTACACCATGTTCAAAAGTCATTATGGTACCAAATTCTGACTAAACAAATCACACATGATGGATAGTGTTTAACGGGGGCCAGTCTTTATTTAGATTTTCGAGATACATGTATATCAAACAATCTATTTTGTTAAATATTAATATTTAATATTCTGTTTTTAGCAACAATATCTGGAATACACCCGTATTAGAAATTAAGATAGGAGATATCCCATAATAGAATTGGTGTAGTGATGGCACTATTCCAGAATAGAATAGATTACAAAGCCTTTTGGCATATTTAAAAGAACGTACTAAAATCAAATTGATAAGCAGACTATCAAATTCCATTGATTATTTACGAGATCGCAACAACTGATAGCAATGACAGTTATATGGTTATTTAGCACTTGATACGACCAATATAATAAATAACACGTCCAGGTTGATTACAGATTACAGTATCTTATTAACTGAATGCACCAGAATTAATAAGTCCCGGTGATCTATGCAGGATATTTAAAAAATGAATCAAGTCATAAACTGTAAAAGCTTTATAGCCCATCCTCCACCCTCAAATGAATACACTGCACGGCCCGGCCCGGGTCCGAGCCAGGGCGGTAAGCTGACAGTCCTGACAAAACCACTTCCTGGAAACCTAACCAGTTACTCTAAATACAAAGGTCAAATTTCAATTTTATAGCCTGTGATGTAAGAATCTGACAATTTTAAAGATTATGATGAATATTGTTCCGACTATCAGTACATATTCTTTCTATTTACAAAGCATTTAGTACACGGCACCAAACAAATCCGGTCATTTTCATATTAAAATTATTTATGTCCATAGCTAACGCGATACATGGTTGACGTAATTCATAAAATAATGGCAAATCCAATAAATGCATACTGTAGGATGTTATTTGAATAAATGCTTAACAAATGAAATTGTGATCTATGCAAGTTTACAATTTACAGTTAGATTAGGCGAACAACAATCGAAAACTACCTAACCCTAACCCTAAAGGCGTTTAGGGTGGTATCGAGAAAGCCAAGAGACATAATGTCACCAAACCTGTTACTTTTGCATTATTTACACTCATCTTCCTTATTTTTGTCAAACGCCACTTTATCTTTATGAAAGCAATAAAAAGGCGTATTTCAGTAGGGCCCAAGTAGATGTAAAAATTGAAATAAAATGTAGTTTAATTACCGCCCTGCAGTTCTGAATCGACTGGGTTAATGAAGACGGGCATAGGCCATACATTGTGCTATTGTGCTATGAGGGAAATTTCGCTCAGGCAGCGGCACCACAGCGGACTCTTATTGGGGTTCTTTTACATGCACGCCAATTTGTACAAGGGGTATCGTTTTTTCGTCCCATCCAAACGATAAGACGCTGTCCTTTGTCAGACCCTCTGTCCTGCATCACAGACAAGGGGAAACACGCTGGAAAATCCCGTTGAACTTTCTCGATCGAACACGGGACATCCAGGTTAGCGATCCAACGTCTCACTCACTGACCCACCGTGGCTCCCGTAAAATACACAACACTGACTTACAAAGTATAGTATAATTATATCGTATTTTTCTACGGTTGGAGGAGATAAACCCAACCACCTAGCTCTCAGATCGTTTACATTTCTGCACCATTGATAAATGTGTTATTCATTTCTATATATTTATCTTATTCTATTGAAAGTTTGCCAACCTCATGGAGATATTTTAAAACTATAAATTTCCTATTACATAAATTCGGTCTAAAATTAGAAGTAGAAATTATGCTCTGGGGACTGGTGAATTTAACTAATACGCAGCGATAAAGATAATGGTGTCTGAGTATGGTGTTTGGCTGCCAGTAGCGTGCAGAGGGGCGATGGCCTCGGTCTTCCATTTGAAAAGGATGTGGGGGATCCAATCAAAGAGTGAACTTAAAATGAAGATTTTTTGAAATTTGAAATTATCGCTAACTCAGTTTATTAAACATATTTAAAATATTTTACTGTTTTACATTTCTCGGTGTCAGGCCTACGATGGCCTGTTCCTCTAGAGCGGGTATATAATCAAAGAGTTGTTCACGCTCATCACCAAACCTCTGCACGCCACTTTTAGTTTTTGAGCTCAATGACAGTTTATACTCGTCATTAAAAGGACGGGGCGATTTTATTTTTATAGATAATTTACAGATATACAGACGTGTGATATAATTCTGGAATCAGTTGAGGTTTGCTAGTGATCAAATGTTAACCCCATTCTAATTCCAGGAACGTTTTATCTGCCGTCAAGAACACTTTCTGCCAATAGATAAGATCACTGATATTCAAATGAGAATATACCCGCAAGATTTGAAACCACTGCTAGGATCAATATTCCTTTCTTATCATATAACTGGCAAGATCATATCAATTTTCGTTAAAGAAGGTACCGTCCATTATCAGGGAAATGGGTCGATAATGAAATTATACGTGAATTTTTCACAAGACGGGCTAATTGGAGAGACGGGCCGTGGTGGTTGTAAAACGACGTATAAAGCAGACGTCCCCCAACCCGATTCCAATTCATCAATCAAAGAACGGTATAAAGACGTCCACAGATCTGCATTTACGAATAAACCCAAATACCAACTATCCAATACCGATAGCAGCCAAAAGTGTGAGTTTGCCTTGCGAGTTGCTACAATGAATGCAACTCAAGCTGATCCTGACTATCAAAACGGTTCTTCAATAAAGGGTGAAATAAAATCTCTATTTAAACATATACACCCAACAAGTACACAAACTTTTACTTCAACGTAACCCGTGTTGAAAATAATAGGTTAACGAGTTGGTAAGATATTTAAATGTCTGGATATATCTACATGTACACCTTTGAGAGTCAGACATGGACATGTATCGGTTTTCATAGAGCAATGCCTGACAATATATACTGTTAAGGTAAATGACATACAAATAGATTCCCCAGTGAATAAAAATATAGTATACCTATGTACTTGTTTACAATAAGTCCAGTATTCATAAACACAACCTTCATTACATACCTCAGTGGGTTGAAAGTATTCCCATAATCTCGTCGTTACAGCCGAAGAGACGCTTTTAATGAAACTTTCTACATCTGAAATGCCTTTTCCACCCCAAGCACACATGTTGATAGTATTCCGATGATTCCGGTGGGACGTTAATCCGTTCGACCTGCTACCGAGATAAACAAAAACATGTACAGAAAAGTATCCTCCATGGAAAGATTACGATTCACGATTCAAACTGGTGACTCCTTCTCGTTCACTTAATACCGATACTCTTATACACAGGTTTACAGTGTCTACATCCATTCAATTGACCTATTCACTGAAAAAAAATTGTAAAAATAGTTTTAGTAGTTGACATTATGAAATATTTAGAACATGTCAACATCACACGTTGTCTACCAGCTTTAAACCGTAAACAGGAGTGTTCTATACGGGTTTTGGTTACTATATAAAACTAAATATGTTGAATGTATTTCGTTAGCACGTTTCACACCTTTACAGCAAACTACCAGACCTGCTTACAATTTTAATTAAAGATGCAGACGATATTGATCATTTTTTTAAAGAACATTGAGCCATTGATGTTTTCTTAAGAAATCCTTTTCAGACATTAACCAATCTTTATTGATTAATTATCCAATCTTAGAAAGTCGTACACTTTTCACAATTGCACTGCGTAAAACTTTGTCGATTCTTTCCATATAAAGAAACCTTCAAAGTAATTCATAAATTCAGAACAACCAAAACTGACGCTGTATTAGACGTTGTCGGTTATTTGGAAACATAACATCTCATCTATATCTGCTCTAAATTATTGATTAATGCCTCTTACACACGCTTAAATCAGAAAACAAATCTATTTAGAGCAAGCTACACAGAGAATGAAGCCATCTTGCCTAATGAAATATTATTTATTGTACCATAAATGGTCCGTAATAAGTTTAATACATAATTGTATGAAGTCATTCGAGTGCTCCCTACTATATTTTTCAAATGATGTTTTTAAGCTTTGGGATATAAGAATTGTAAATATGTTTCAGTATTTTTCATCATCTTGTGAACTTATGTATAGTAGTTCATAATAGTTTTTAAAGGGGGGATCACGTGGCTAAGTGGGTAAGACGCTAGCTCGCTAGCCTGGAGGTCGGGTGTTCGATCCCTGCATTGGCCGAGAAAGTTCATCCAGATTTTCCGGCGTGGTTCTCCCTTGTCAGTGATGCAGGACGGAGGGGCTGACAAGGAAATCTGTCTAGTCGTTCGGATGGGACGAAAAACCGAGGTCCCGTGTACACATTGGCGTGCACGTAAAAGATCCCTTGGCAGTTGGAATTCGATATAAGAGTAGGCCGTAGTGCCGCTGTCCGGGCAAAATTTCCCTCATAGCACACTGTATGGCGTATGCCCGTCTTTATTAGCCCAGGTTAGGAGCAGAACAGTAGGACGCTAAACTCCATTTCATTTCATTTCATTTCATTTCAGTTTTTAAAGGAATGAAACTTACGTAGATTAATTTATATTATAGAACATACAAATCTAGCATAACAACTTATGAACGTTTAAAGCGACATTGTTACTTACCAATTTCAAATTTACAACCATTTTCGAACATATTTTCCAATATTTGTCGCAGCAATAATAATGCTGTGTGTTCTTTTTAACGTGCACTTACGTAATTGTTGACATTATTTTTCAAATGCATTTAATTCAAAATACAGAACATAAAGTTTACTATCCAAATAACGTGACCCCTCTCTCCACTTTAATGATAGTGTATATCACTGAGCTATACAAGTCTAACAGATAGAAAGTTCAAGATGCATATTTTACTCATGCATTCGTTATATTAAGTGTCTCGACACCGCGAAATTACGTTTTCGAATATACATGACAAAATTACCGAAAACTCGAAGCTCTTCGTCATCTAAGCATGCACTTCAACACAACATAATCCTTGTGCTTTAATCTAGATTTTACTAGAAACTGGAACTTTAAAACACACCGTATTTCGTTTTTATATTAAGAGACAAACTTTTATTTTTTGTTTTGTGATAATAGAAAGCATGACCTTAGGCGGTTTAGCACGTTGTTATTTATTGTGTTTAGTCCCCGACATTTATATACAAGTTAAATATCATTGATGATAATTACTTACATTATTTATTGGCTTAACATTTCGCTGTTGATTATCCAATTATACAACGTTTGCATCTGGGTGTATATTGTATTTAGACTTGGATACATCCGTTTCAATGAGACTAGTAATAATATTTATCCCACTTTGTTCTATTTTGCAGACGTCGTTTAAGCTTCCTTAATGCCACCCATCTCAACATACATATATATTGAAATAAAATCTGCACATTATAACATGAGTCACGCCTACAAGCATTGGATTGACATGCTACAACTCACTACGTATATAATTAACTCACTACGTATATAACAACGACATTGATTAAAACTGCATTAATTAATAATATTTAATTATCACCCCCTCTCACACCAGTAAACCACTGAGAAACACAATCCCGACTCTCTATATCTCTGTTTTACGACTTCTCAACACATGCTGATGTCTGAAATATCTTATCTTTTTTGAGTATTTTCTCAGCTAATCTCAACCAGACACATGTTTCCATCAAAACCAAACACTTGAAGAAAGTTCATATCGAACCTTTAGGCTCTCACACGATGAACACGTTGTCCATACATGTGTATCAAATGTATCCTCTATACGTATCCGTGATTATTAATTATAACCTTATGCTCCCTAAGTCAAGCTGGCAGACAATAAGCCGTCGGGTTGCCAGTTAGTGATACCCTGGTATTTTTGCCCAGTGCTTGCCTCATGGGTGTTTTTTTTTATGGAACCCAATATTTTTCGAGTAAGATTGGGCCTCTCTACTTGCCATTTATACCAAATTTGCCATACTTTTGGAAATAATTCGTGAGAATGTATCCTTAACTGTTTCATCGTCATCACCAACATTCACATTGTCATTGCAGATACTAGTATATCTATGATCCAAACCGCATTTCTCAATTTGTTACAATCCGTTACGTTAATTACCAGCATGACATATTATATCCCGCCCAATATGATTACCATTATTGCCAAGTTCATCATAATTATCATTTGTATAATCCGTAACTTTAATTATCATCTTCTACACCTATATCACCATTATCATCTTCTACATCTGTATCACCACTATCATCTTCTACATCAATATTATCATCTTTTACATATATATCATCATTATCATCTACTATTATGTATCATCATTATCATCTTATATCAGTTGTAATACCAATCATTATCTTATACACCTGTATCATCAAGTATCAACGTATACATCTGTATCATCATTATCATCTTCTACAACTCTATCATCATTATCATCGTCCTTGCCTGTATCCTCTTCTACATCTGTATCATCATTATTATCTTCTACATCATTATCATCATTATCTGTATCATCATTATCTGTATCATCTTATATCTGTATCACCATTATTATCTTCTATATCTGTATCATCACTATCATCTTTACTCGTGCATCATCAATTATCATCTTCTACATCTGTATCATCAATTATCATCTCCCACATCTGTAATATCAATTATCATCTTCTACATCCGTATCATCATTGTCATCTTCTATATCTGTTTCATCATTCTTATACTTCTATATCATCATTATCATCTTCCACGTCATTATCGTCTTCAATTATCATCTTCCACATCTGTATCACCCTCTACGTCTTCTACATCTGTATCATCACTATTATCTTCTACATATATCATTAATTATTATTTTCTGCATTTAAAACATCGCTATTATCATCTACATCCATAGCATCATCGTCTACATTTGTATCACCATTATCATTTTCTACATCTGTATCATCAATCATCATTTTATACAGCTGTGTCATTATTTTCATCTTATACATCAGTATCATCATTATCGTCTTCCACAGTTGTGACATCTTCTACGTCTTCTATATCTGTATCATCAATTATCATCTTCTACATCCGTACCGTCAATTATTATTTTCTACATCTGTATCATCACTATCATCTTCTACATCAATATTATCATCTTCTACATCTGTGTCACCATTATAATCTTGTACTTCTGAATCATCTTATACACCTGATTCATTATCATCTTCCACATATGTATCATCTTCTACGTCTTATACATCTGCATCATCATTATCCTCTACATCTGTATCATCAATTATCATCTTCTATACCCGTATCGTCAATTATTATTTTTTACATCTGTATCGTCAATTATTATTTTCAGCATCTATATCATCTCTATTATCCTCTTCATCCTTAGTATCATCTTCTACAATTTTATTATCATCGTCTACATCTGCATAATCACTATCTTCTTATACTTGGAAGTGCCATCCGATGTTCTAGATAATGTTGCCTTTCCTGTATGTTCATTAACCTATACTAACTATACTTAAAGGCTCGACGCGTCATTTGCATTTTCGCTCTAGATAAAAGATGGCGGCGCCTTGTTACGGTCGATCAGGATCGACGGATGGAATTTCAATTCATGATAACTTTGTAAATATTATAAAAGAAATTGAAGCATTTTTGGACTTATATTTCAACTTTCACAACATTGTAGTTTGGAATAGATTCATATAGCGTTAAATGACGCGTCGAGCCTTTAATGTTACCCTCATATATAACAATTCAATATAATTGAATGAAAATTAAGGAAAATATCCGGGTTGTAAGAGTGCATCTCTCAACAAAACATACTTTTTCATCAATGAGCATGAAACGATTACAAACACGGACCAAAGGCCAAGCTACCAAATAAACTTACCGACGGCGACATATATATATATATATCTTTTTACTATACTTTATATCTTATTAAATGATATATTTCAACATAAAATTTGCTTGCATTATGAAAAATACGCAACCATATCGAATCATTCAAAATTTCCATTATCCATAATCTTGTTAATGTTTCATGAAATAATATAAATTTTGGATATGTGTAAAACATGCATATCTATAACATATCCTTAAGTGTGAGTTACCTTTTGCAATACTGAAATCAAGGTCCAAACCATTGATTGCGCAGAAGGGTATACCTTCTTTTTACTTGATTAATTTAAGAGTTTACAAGGCTAGAACCCAGGTAGGCTTACAAACTGTTGCTCTGGTTATAAGTTATATGATTACTATTTCTCTGATACCACTTCTCGTTTGTGGGGTTCACGTAGTTTTACCATTTTCTGTCCACGAGAACGTTGTTAAAAACGTTGAGATATTTTTAATGT